CTCCCCTCCTCAGGGTTAGAACCCCCACTCCAAAGAGACTATATAAACCAACACAACCAGGTCAGCTCGCATCAGATGCTGGAGCGGAGGCAGGAGGAGAGTGTTGAGAAATGACATCTACAAAGGGAAGAACAGCTTGTTCCCACCACAGTCTCCTCATTCTCTTCTCAGCATTGTCTTTAGCTGATGGCTTCAAGGCATTCTAGGGCTGCCTCAAGCACATGACAGAGTCTCTAAAGATACCTCTAGAAATAGTGCCTGTTCCCAGATTGCTGGGCATTTTGCACCCTTCCATGCCTGCTGGGCCCTCCATGCCTATAAAGGAGGGTCTGTTAGAATGTGCAAAAAATCTGTGGTAGATGACAGCTACCACTGTTCTGGCTACATCCACACTAAGTCACTTCCAAGGGATTTTGAGCACCTTTGTTCCCATCCAGTACCAGGTTTATTGTTGTAACTGTGGCCCAAGAGATGTCGAAGGAATTAGAGCCTCCCAAATCCACACTGAGGCAGAGACACAGAGACTGGACTTGTTCAGATCATCTTCCAGCCTCCAAATGCTTCTGTTAAATGCCTTTATTTCAGTTGGAACCAGCTCTCTCAGTTTGTGGACATGCTATCTCCAGGAGCACAAGGAACTGAAGATGGTGTCTGAAGGACAGTTGAGAGCCCACGCTGGATGTGTCCAGTGCAGCTGTGCACTCTGTAACTACAGTGGTGGGCGTGAGCCGATCATCCTGGCTCCAGCCTGGAGAGGTCCAAACAGCAACTGAAGATCCTCCCTTTAAGGAAACAAATGTTTTAGTTGAGAGACCGACTCCATTGCTTAAAGGACTCCAGGGTGACGCTACCCTCCCTCAGCCTCTGTGTTCCACCCACAAGAAGGAAGCAGTGAAACCACAGATTTTTCAGGCAGCATTCTTCTGGCCTCTCCTATTACCAGCCTTCAAAGGACATCAGAGCTGCTGAGAGAAGCAGAGGTTCCGGTGATGATTCTCTGCCTTTGCTGCTGCTGCTGCTACTGTCTCTTGTCCACCACGTGGTGTCGGGGGTAACCTGGCAGAACCTCCAAAGGCTTTGTGCTCTTCTAGCCCACCCACTTTTGGCAACTGCCTTATTTTTGGGAGGCCTGGACTCTGATTAGCTTGGATCATTAGAGCCTAGAAATTTACAAGAGGTATTCTATCCAGTTCCAGTCCCCTTCCGGTCCAGCCCTTCCCCCCCATTCCTTTGCAGAGCTCCTTTACATGTGATTTTGTTAAAACAATAAGTTGATATCTTTCTGCCACTTAGAGAAGTGCAAGAGGTGCCCTCAGAGTTCAGAAGCAGGGCAGTTTTATTCCAACTATTTCACCATCCCTAAGAAGAAAGGAGGTTGGTGTCCTGTTTTTGGACTCTTGACTCATCATCCTCAGATCGGGGGCCATACTGTATCTTCCCATGCTACAGCAGTAAGATCCTGTAAGGACCTTATTTGTGGTTGCCCTCAGATGGAGGGCCTCAGGTATTAGCACAGTTGATTAATCCCACTGCAGAGCCCTTAGCAACTTGTTTTCTTTGCCACTTATCTAGGACGACTGACATTTTAGTGACCAGTAAGTACATCACCTTAACAGGCAGAGGGAATGGCGCCCTCATGGCAGGGGCCCTTTTATATCATGTTTTCACAAGTACAGGATCTCTCAAACCTCAATCCACGTTTTTTCCCAAAGTTGTGTTAGAATTTCATGTGAACCAATTGATTTATTTCCAAGTGGTCTTCGCCAAGCCTCACTCAGTGCCCTTTTAGAACTGTCTTTCTACATTGACGGGACAGACTCATTCAGGAATACCCGTGGGCTCTGTGTTTTGGCCTTTGTAAGGAGTACAGGTTGAACCTCTCTGGTCCTGCAACATCTGTGGTCCGGCATGAGTTTAGTTAGCCGATGTCCACTTATCATAGGTGTAGCCAAGTTTCCCTTGGCCCCATAAAATTTGTTTCCAGCCACCAGTCCTGGCTCTGTGTTTTATGCTGTCAGTTAGCTCTTAATTTACCCCTCAATGTCTTAAGAGCCCAGGAAGCAGTGGAAATGTTGGTAAAGCTGCTAGACAGTATTGACCTCCTGTGGTTTGGCAAATTCTCTGGTTTGGCACCGGTCAGGGCCCGAGGGTGCCAGACTAGAGAGGTTCCACCTGCATTAGGCAATATCCTCCCAGAGTCTCCATGTGTATAAAGACACAGTAAGAGTCAGCCAGGTAAGATCCACCTGACCACTTGAGAGCTCAGACAGCCTCTGCTGCCTGTTGGCAGACTGTCCCTGTTTCTGAAACTGTGAAGACAGCTACATGGAGCTTGATCCCTATGTTTACAAGGCATTGCTCCTTTTGTCAGAAGCTTGCAAGTGGGATTGGTCCTGCAATCATTGTTTAGGTAGCACTGCTAATACCCACCTCTAGATGGACAGCTAACAGCTCATTAGCCACTGAACACTTGGCAAGATAGCAATGCATAGGCATGATGTCTGTTGCAGGTAGCTTGTGTTCTCCTGGCATCTCGGACCTTCTGCCAGAAAGCCCTACAAATCCATGCGCAAAAGGTTTGGGCTGATCCAAGTTCTCTTACTTGCCTTCTGCAAAAAATGTTTTTGGCTACCTTTCTCACCTGTCTCAATCTGATTCCATCCAGGTATGTCTAGCCTATTTCCACTTAGGTCTGGGAAGCCCCTTGTCAGACTCCCATAAGGCTTGATACTTGGGGGGGGGGGATGAAAAAACATTAAACTCCCCACCACCACCCCCACACACACTCTTGCGTTGTGGAACACTACTGTTGTATCATCAAAGCTGATGAACTTTCCTTGGGAACCATGTTTTTCAGGGAGTTTAAATGTCTTTCTTGAAAGGGCATTTTAGTATTGGTGACGTCAGCCACAAAGTGCTGTAGTGACTATCCTTGTAAAACCTGGTAGACGGTGTCTGAGTGGTGCTGCAGACTCATCTCAGAGTGCTCTGAAGCAGCACATTGAGTTCCATCTTAATGAACTTATTCCCCTATCACCACTCACCGGCATGGCATGCCCCCCATGCAAGAGAAGCATGTTTCTGTGTGTGTCACTCAAACAGTCCAAGGTGGGATGTATCTGGCTCTACCTGGAGCAGACTAGACTCTTTAAAAAAAAAAAAAATCCACCCAATTCTTTTTCTGTTCATACCAGTTTGCTAGGTAACATTGTGACCCGTGGGACCACATCTAAATGGATACCTGATTGCTCTTATGACGTGCTGGCCTGAAACAAGAAGACCTTGTAAAAAAACTCCAAGACAACATAGTCACCATAGTCTGCCCCAAATATTTAATCAATTACATCTGCAGAGTAGCTACATGATCTTCCTTCTGCAGACTCACACATTATTGCTTGAATTTGGCCTCTAGAATAGAGATTCTACTCCAGACCCAATTTCAAAGATAGGAGAGGCCAAACCGTCTTCCTTCCTCTTGCCTCCAAAACAGTCTTTAATTAAAAAAAAACACCCTTATTTTCAGTTGGCAATCTTTTGCATAAAGAAGTTTTTGATTGTGCTGTCCTTCCGCAGACTTGAAGGTATTTTTAAGAGGTATCTTTCTTTTATATTTGCAGGGAAAAAGCAGCACGTGCTGGCAGGGGAAGAGAGAGGTTTCCAATGTTTTTTACATTAGTGACATTGTTGCAACTTGTACCTAATTCTGTAAATTCAATCATTAGGAAGGGAAGATTATGAAAGGAAAAGATTCTTTTGTAGGATTCCTCACACATTTACTTCCTATTAGGATTTGGTGGTTTTAACTGAAAACCTTTCAGAGTGTTATTTTTGGTTCTTGATGCATTTGTAGTTATGTATGCTGGGACCTTCCACCAGAGTAATAGAAAATGGACGGACTAAAAGGGTTAGGAGGGTAGTGTTTATAGTTGGCAGAGAGTGATGGCTAATAGGGATCTGGCTTGTCTTTATCCCGATAGAGCTGTGCTTAGGATTCAGAAAACTTTAAGAGCTGATGGAATTCCCCATTTATTGTGCTATGGAACAGACCAAGTAGTAAGAATATCCCTTTAAGGTCTCTTCAGAGAAGCAGACATACGGGTTATTCAGTCTCTTGTTGAAAAGATTGTCACCCCTTGTCTGTCCCTTTCCCCCTCACCACACAAACCATTCTGGTGTCTAGATGAAACTTACCTGGCTTCTATAGCCTTTCTGTGGGTGGACTAACTTCCTCTTTTGAAGTGTGCTCATTGGGATCCTGTTTTGATTCTCAGCAGCATTGTCCACAAAAGCTCAATGTTACCCATCTGTTACAGCATGGATGGGCAACCAGGAATGGTGGGTGAACCACAAGAGTGATACTCCTTCACCTTAGTGGGCCACCGCAGCTCGTGACTCAACGGGGGTTCCACCTGCAGGGCCCCCGATCTGCTCCCCCCCACACCTCTGGAGCATCGGAGCCCAGCACTTAACTGCTTCTCCCCCTTCCTCTCAGCACTTTCAGAGCCTGCAAATCACCTGCTTTGCACTCTGTGCCCACTTCTTCCCCTCCCTCCCAGAGCTGGAACACCACTTGCAGCATTCTAGCTCTGGGAAGGGGGGGGAGCAGGGGACAGAGTGCGAATCAGGCGATTCACAGGCTCCAGATGTGCTGGGAGGGTGGGGGAGGAGCAAATAAGCATGGGGCTCTGGTTGGCCCAGTACATGAGACATGTAGGGGAGGGCGTAGGCAGGGGTTCTGTGGGCCACAAGTGGAGCCCCAGCGGGCTGCATGTGACCCATGCGCTGCAAGTTGCCTGCATTGGTCTACAGCAACCTCTGATTTTGACATGTGCGTTTCACCTTTGGGCTGATGTCTGGCTGCTCCTAATACAACTGCAGAATTTTATCCCTTCAGGGTTTCTACTTTATAAGATGACAAAACCAGCTTGAGCTTGATGTGTTAAGATTTTTTTTGACTCACTTGCTCCTCCATCTTGAGATCTGTTTTCTCTTCATTCTAGAAGTCCAGTTCTTCTACCACCACCAACGAAAAGATTACCAAATTGTATGAGCTGGGTGGTGAGCCGGAGAGGAAGATTTGGGTAGATCGTTACCTAGCCTTCACTGAAGAGAAAGCCATGGGCATGACCAACCTCCCGGCTGTGGGCAGGAAACCTCTAGACCTTTACCGGCTCTATATCTCTGTAAAAGAGATTGGAGGACTGACTCAGGTGCGTGACCAGAAGTTCAGAAAGCCATCACAACCGTGATGCAAATGAGATGGCTGTACGTTTATATGTAGCCTCTGACTCAAAACTTCAATCATATAGGCAGCTGGATTCAAGCTTAACTCGAGTTGCTAATTGAGTTCTTCAGATTTAAATTGAATCTGCAACTTTAAAGTAGTGTCAATACCTTATTTCTAAAATCCAGTATCCTAGAATTAAGTGGATCTAATTGCAGTGCTTGAGAGTATTCTGACCTCACTGAGATCCACTTGGTGCTTTTCCTCACCCAGGCTGTAGAACAGCAGAGAGGCCCTGTTTGCATCACTTATTAGTGTTGCTGCATATGGGCTGCCTGCTGATCTCCTGGCTACTTCAGTTTGCTGCTCGCTGTTACCCCTCTCTGAATCTCCCTTTCCTTTGAGCCAGGCAAGCAGAGGCTTACTGCTTTGGTTTTGATCCACAGTTTCAGCCCAACTGTGTGGCTGTTGTGCTTTCTACCTGTTTTGCTGGTATCTAGTTGGGAAATATGGCTCTGGGGTATATCCCCTAGAAAAGGGAAATGGCTTGAATTTTATATTCTGACCCTCTTTTCTTTGGGGTGTGTGTGTGCAGGTCAATAAAAACAAGAAATGGCGTGAGTTAGCCACCAATCTTAATGTGGGCACGTCTAGCAGTGCAGCTAGTTCTTTGAAGAAGCAGTACATCCAATGCCTCTATGCCTTTGAGTGCAAGATTGAACGAGGCGAAGACCCACCCCCAGACATCTTTGCAGCTGCTGATTCAAAGAAGTCCCAGCCCAAGATACAGCCCCCATCTCCAGGTGAGTATAAAGACTATAGACAAGATGCCCTATATTCTGCAGCAAATTGGATTTAAATTCCTCTTTTCTACTGTCACATGAAATTTCTTATGACGATATCTGAAGTGTTCAAATTGAGGCTTTTAATGGGCTCCGTGTATATGACTAGTGCAGTGAATAAAGTATTCCTTGTGGTATGTGCATCTTCTTGCAGTGCTCATCCCGGCGGGTGCAAATGTGAGTCCTTCAGTAAGAGTGTCCATTGGCCTGCATCTTCAGGGCCATGTGGGGTGCGGCAAGCTGACCACCTAACCTGTTTCTTTTCTGCTGCTTGCAGATTGGGAAGGAGCCCTCATGCATGTGGCCTTCTAGTGATGTCTGTCCTTTGTTTGCAGATGCTGTAAATAGTTGTATTAGTTCCTTTTATTAATTAGTAAAGTCTTAAACTGTTAGCTGATAGGCTTGGGATTCTCCCTTCCATTTCTCCAGCCATCGGGGCACTTAAACCTAGAGAAGACATAGACATGGCTTGGGAGTCACTCATAGTAAATACTTAGAGACCAGCACTCAAAGAAAAGTGTATGGTTCCTGTGGTGACTGTGACCTTTCTTTCTCCTCTTGTTTGGATCCTCACATGGCTCATGGCAGAGTGGCAACTGTAGAGGTGGCCAGTCTGCACTGCCCCTTATGCCCTGCAGCACAAGAAGGCATCAGGTGCTGGCACAGACCAGCAGGCACTGCTGAAGGATTTCCAGTCCTTGGCATACTGAGCACATGCCTGCCTGCAGTGCATATCCATAGGGACCACATTAACGGAGACTCTTTGGTACTTGGCTTGTGTGCTGCCTCCAAACATTTAATATTCCGCAGGCTTTTGCCCTGACAGAACTGTTTGGAGGAAGGGGCAAGTGGGGGATCATGGCCTGGAGAAGGCTCTTTGAGGTGACTTCTGTATATTTGAGCAGTATTGCATCCAGCTGTGGTTTGCGATCTTCTGGGAAAGTAGCACCTTATGCTCACCAAAGCACTGAATACTTGAAGCTTGCCTTCCAGGCCTGTGTAATCAGATATTGCCTCGGTTGCTTACTTTCCTACAGCTAGCTGCTGGCCTAGGGCTGTGCGCCTACAAACGATTTTTTTTTTAAATACCAACTCGTTGGGATGGTTTTGGTTGTAGACAAGTTGGGTGAGCTTTAGAGTAGGCTATGAAGTAGACTGTTGTGTAGTTTTGTTTCCTGGAGAGTCTCTAGATTGTTCTTGAGCATCATGTCTGATCCAGCCAGTAAAGACCAGGAAAAAAGTATGGGTTTAAGCAGTGCACTTTGAGCCCTGTGTTCTTCCCAGAATATGGTGCCTTCTGTAGAGATGGAAGGCCACTCCCTAGGTGGCTGTTCTGAACATGCCAAACCTTGAACCTCTACTGCGAAATACCAGGTAAACTCAGCTGTTCCACAGCCTCCCTCTCAAGTCAGATCATTAGGTGCAGTTTGTTTGCTTTGAAACACCTTCATGAGGGAATGGGAGAATCCTTGGTTCTGGGATGGGCATCTTTGTTCAGCTCCAGAACAGTGCAACAGTCCTGCTTTGAGAGTACTTGTACTCTCAAATCAAATCTGGTCAGTCCTGGTTGTGTGAACCCTTTTAGGCACCACTGGGACCTTTCTCTCAAAGGCCTCTCAGGTCCTTGGCATTTTTCTCTGCAGATGCTGCTGCTTTCTCCCATCCTCACCATTTATCGGTGGCCAGTTGAGAAGCCTGTTGCTTTGTCCTTTCTCAAAAGGGCCACGGGCAACCACCAGAACCTTCTTTGTCTCTTTAAATTGTTCTCTCATCTCTCTTCACCTGTGGCTCATATCCACAGTGTAACATGTCTGTACTGAATAGGGCTGAAGTCATATTTGATAGCAAAACTTCCGCTTTGCTTGAATACTATCACATCTGCCCCCTTACGCCTGATGACTGCAGATAGTTTCGGGAGTTGCTGGTTTGAATAAATGTCTTGAGTAGAAGACTGTCAAAGTCCAGGAAGAAAATGCTGCCTGTATTGATATATACTGTATCTGAGACCAAGGAGAAGAACTTAGCTGTTGATTGATGCTGACACACACCTGCTACAGGCAACTGGCTGACCCCAGGATCTGCCCACAAAGAGATTCCTTGTACACGGTTCTATAGCAGCATTTTCGCACCTCTTCCATACTTGACTCAGACTCTTTGGGTGTCTCTGCAGCCAAAGGGAAGCTTTAATAGCACCAGGCTTTGTGGTTCTGCCCTTCTGACAAAACCAGAAAGATTTACTTATGGGGCCGAAAAACCATATTGCCTCAGGTAGAGGTGGCAGTGCAGTCAGTGACTTTACGTTTTAGTTCCAGTGCAGGGATGAGCAGAAAATCCAGTGATCAGTATTTTTCCTGTTGAATTGGAGCAGGGATCTACTATGTGTATTTTCAACAATCCCATTGCTACCACCCGTGGGGGGTGGGGGGGAGAGAGTTTTGCTTGATCAGTCCAGTTTTTGGAACAGGAAATGTCTCCATATTTGCTACTTAGACTTCCAAGCCTCGTAACATGAGACAGCCATCTTCTCCTGCATCACAAATCAGTCTCTTCACCTAGCTGCTTGGATCACAGGACATGGATTTCTTTTCATCTAGCAAATTCTGCAAGGCAGCAAAGTATTTCCTTGCAGACCAAAAACCAGGACTATGTAGCCCTTTAAAGACTAACAAGATGGTTTATTAGGAGATGAGCTTTCGTGGGCCAGATCCACTTAGCCTTCCCTATTGAAATTCTACTCCCAGAAGTGGATAAAGGTTTTCCTCTCGCAGCAGTGGATAGTAGTCTGTCACCATACTCTGTATTCATATAATCTTGTATTAACTTCTACCTGTATCTGAAACATCAGCCGTGTGATATCCTTGAACAAAATGCACTTGTTTGCCACCTCAGAATACCACTCTCTCCCACAGGCAACTGAAGCGTTTAGCCACAGTCCCAAGAAGCCTAAAAAAACTGGGTAATGTCTTTTCTCCATTCAGGAAACCTGTCCCCATATGGACATAACTTCACTGTATTCCACAGGATGAAACTACTTTTGTCATTAGGCAAAAATTTTGCCTAAAGCAGCATCTGAGTTAAACTTAAACCAGACCACCCGTCTCTTCCAAAAACCTCATTCTTTCCAGCAAGGAAAGGAAGCTACGTAACCAAGGCATTAAGAGGGTTCTGAGTGAGTTTGGTTAGGACTAACACATCTAGGAAGTCACTTAATTTGCGATGGCTTTTGGAGATTTCCTCTTGCTCCTGGTGAGTGGACTAGCTTGTGTATAGCTGCTTCTTTTTGCTTAGCTTAGCTTAAGGGAATGTGATTCTCACGACTTGGCCTTCTAGGGATAAGGTGGCATTGATGGCTGATTTTGGTGATGGAACTCTGTGGGTCTGCTGCCTGCACCTCATTGTGCGTTTATGCTGTAGTAACCTTGACGCAAAGCCGTTAGCTGGGTGGTCCTCTCAGAATTGTCTCTGCATATTCATGTTGTTCACTCGCTTTTCACAACATTGACTCCAGACCTCAATGCCTCAGGTGGGTGCTCATCCTGTCCCACCAAGTTCCTGATGCCCAGACTGGGAGCATCTCGCAAATGGGAGTGCCCAGGGGCAACTCTCAGAACATTTCTTTTTGGCAGCTGGGTAGCCGGCAGTGGGGCATGTGGTACCCAGGCAGGCAGAGTTAGGTTTGGCAACTGACAGCAGTTTGACCCTTAGAACTGAGGGGGCAGCTGTGGCTTCATCTCTGTGTCTCTGAGATGACTCTTGGTGGGAGCGAGCTGTGCCCTACTTATCCATCACTGAATGCTTTTAAACTCCCGTTGCTGGCATGTGAGGTTAACACTCCCTGAAGATGGATAGAGGTGGGTCGTATTCCTCAGAGCTGTTGCTTCATGCTGTTTGCGGACTGCTCAGTTCACCTTTGATTGCTGGTCCTTGGGCTGTGACGAGCGCTTTCCATGTTTTCTTGCCTTAATGGAGGCTTAGATTCTAATGCGGAGTTGTGCGCTAAGTGATGTGTTTCGTAGCTGTAGGATCTTCCCAGGAGCGTGTGATGGGGTAGCGCTACTAGACTGTATTGAAATCTGTGCCCCGCTCAGGCAAGCCGTTCTGGAAAACAGTGTGCAGAATCCCCCCGCCCCCTGCCCCACAAAGCTGCGTGCTTTGTGTGCCCAGGAAGCTGGCTCCTGGGCAGTACAGTCTGGGCTACTGCCCCTCCCTTCCAGGCCTCCTTGGGCTGTTGAGTGTGAATGGCTGGGTGTCCTCTGGGAGGTGGAGTTGGCTGGTCTCCAACAGTTTGTGAATTAGTGAGTGGGAGGGACAGCAGGGGGCTGTCCAGCACAGGGACTGTCCCCAGCCGTGGAGACCTGCCCTGAATTCCCAGGGGAGCCTGGTGCTGACATGCTAATGAATAGTGAAGCAGGGTGTGGGGGGAGGGTTATGAATGAAGCTCCCTGCTGAGCTGGGCTGCCCGCCCTTCGGGCTGGAAGGGGGGGGGACAGGGTGCCAGGAAGGTGGGGCATAAACAAACATGACCTGCCAGTGACCTTAGAGGATTTTAATGAATAGCTGAAATGACTCATCAACCAGCAAGGCTGAAGCTGAGGGATATCGGATGCCGGGAATGGTAACTAATGGAAACATTAATTAAGGGTTCGGCTCTTGCCAGCTGCAAGGAGAGTAGCAGTAGTTCTGCAGGAATAGTGGGACTTAAGCACATTGTGTGCTCCCTTACACATGGGGACCTAGGGTTTTCATTGGGTTTGTCCTGGCCTCTGTCTCAAGGGATCCCGAGTAGCCACTTCTTGGCTACGCCAGGGCTTTTGTCACTTGTTGAAAGTGCTCTTCTTTCTCTGGTCTGTTCCTAAGGGTCTAGCCCGGGGTGAGAAGCTTTTTTGGGTTGGGCCACTGACCCACAGAAAAATCATTTGGGGGCTGCACACAAGTGAGAAACAAAAAAACCCACCCCTCGGGCTGGATCCAGGCAAGCTGGGGGCTGCCTTAGGTTCCCCACCCCTGGTCTAGCCCAAAATGGTTTAGGAGTGCCCCATGAATTATCCTGAACAAGCCCCCCACCAGCAGGGCAAGTCGGATCAGGGAACCTTGCTGTACAGTCAGAGTGCCCGTCACTGAAGGCAGTGGAGTGTCCATTTCATAAAGGACGTGAGCCGTACAGAAACCAGACTCACGAAGGTGCAGGGCTGCAGTGCTTGCCACTCTTGATATTGTGGTTGTCATGCTTGCGGGACAAACATTTTAATTCTGTGCCGCCTGGTACACTAAGCAGCTTCCTCTGTCAGTAGAGAGTCTGGGGGTAGGAGGTGTTTTAAAGGGGAGGGATAGGATGAGATGCTCTCTCTGCTGGAGAAATATAAGGGCCTTAAGCATTGTCACAGGTTTGGGGGGGGGGTCTGGAGAGCCAAGAGTCCATCCTGTACGCTGAGTTCATAGGCATGCCTCTCCTTCAGGGTGTGCATTGGGTTTTTTGAGTTGCTGACATTCTGGTGTGTTTTAGGGCAGCCTCTTCTGTCCGGCACAGAGCTGCTCATGCTGACTCTCCTGTTTCTTCTTGCAGCGGGTTCAGGCTCCATGCAGGGTCCTCAAACACCTCAGTCCACCAGCAGCTCTATGGCAGAGGGAGGAGATTTGAAACCACCAACGCCAGCATCTACACCACACAGCCAGATGCCCCCTTTGCCAGGCGTCAGGTAGTGCACTGCCACACTCTGTCCGCTGCAAGCAGAGAGCCTGTGGGGCAGGCAGGGTTGCTAATGGTCACTAGCAGTGTTGAGTTGGGGCCAAAGGGAGCTTTTGCTCAGTTGCAGTAGTCATGCTCATTTTGTGACCTCCATAATCCGGGTGTCCCTGATTTGGGAACACCTGTGGTTCAGACCCGGGCAGGGGGAGGAGGAAGTGGCTCTGTGGTGATACTCTCCTCCCTCCCCCCTTCCCCCCCCCAGCTGGAGGAATGGCAGCACAGTGAAGCACTGGTCTGGAGGCTCTCCTCTCCTCTCCCCCCCACTCCCATGATGACGAGGGGGCAGTGCCTGGGAGTAGCACTGTGTGTCCCCAAGAGCAGGGTGCCAGGTCCTAGGCGCCTCCTCCCCCTCACACTGACCCCACATTCTCCCTCCCCCCCAACACTCCTTCCCTTTCTCCCTCCCAGACCCTGCACTCTCATCCCCCATGTGCTCCTGCACCCTTCCTGCCTCCAGACCCCACACCCCTACCCCCAATGCCTAAGGTTGCTGGATTATGGAGGTTCCAGGGTAACTGGAGTGAACCTGTGGTAGTGGCAATGATAGCCTATCATGTAGGTAATCCTTGCCCTTCTTTTGGTGGGTCTGTCAGGAGGGGGATACGATCGGCATCTCCTAAGGCGGCGGGAGAGGAGTGGCACAGGACTTTGTTCTAAGCAGTATGTTCTTGTGTTCTGTTAGGAGCAACTCTGTGGGGCTCCAGGATGCCTTTGCAGATGGCAGTGACCCAACGTTCCAGAAGCGGAACTCCATGACTCCAAATCCAGGGTACCAGCCCAGCATGAATACCTCTGACATGATGGGTCGCATGTCCTATGAGCCAAACAAGGATCCCTATAGCAGTATGAGGAAAGGTGATTAAGCTTTTAATGCTATTGAGCTATCTAACTCTTGACAGTGCAGTAGGGATCTATGCAGCCCCTGCGCTGGAGCCATGTGCTGCTCATCCATCTCCAACAAAAGGAGAGAAGATTTTTCTGATTCCAAGGTGAACTTGCTGTGCTGATTTTTTTTTTCTTCCCCTCCTCCCCTTCCCACTCTCTCCCAGCTCCAGGAAGTGATCCTTTCATGTCCTCAGGGCAGGGCCCCAACACTGGTATGGGTGACCCTTACAATCGTGCTGCAGGTCCAGGGATGGGTAACATGGCCCTGGGACAACGGCAACATTACCCTTATGGAGGTCCTTACGACAGAGTGAGGTGAGGGCTGATATCTTTTCATCACTGCAGCGACTGCCTTGGTAGCCTCTTTCCTCTAGAGGAACAAAGAAGCAGTCTTGACCAAGTGTATTTGTTTGTGTAGGACGGAGCCAGGAATGGGACCCGAGGGCAGTTTAGGAACCGGAACTCCCCAGGCCAACATTATGCCTTCCACCCCTGACTCAGGGATGTACTCCCCCAGCCGCTGTCTGCAGCAGCAGCAGCAGCAGCAGCAACGGTAGGTGTTGGCTGGGGCCAAACAAACAGCATTTACCAGTTAGTAGAAGTGACTGCCTCCTACAACTGAAAGTGGGCTCAGAAACCCTCATCGTTAAGTGTGCACCTGGTCAGAGGTAACGTACCTGTTAATTCTCTCTGCAGACATGATTCCTATGGCAATCAGTTCTCCACTCAAGGCACATCCTCTGGCACCCCCTTTCCCAGTCAGCAAACCTCTATCTACCAACAGCAACAGCAGGTGAGCTCCCCAGATGTCTCCACTTTCTTCGAGAGAAGCAAGGGGTGAATTTCCTTTGGAAAGGTGTCAAAAGCAAATTGTTTTCTGAACTAGCTATCTGATGTACTGATTGATATGTAATACGCAGCAGTTACATAATGTGCATACATCCAAGTATTATCCTAGTATCATAGAATACCAGAACTGGAAGGGACCTTGAGAGATCGAGTCCAGTCTCCTGCCCTTGCAGCAGGACCAAGCACCATCTAGAGCATTCCTGAGAGAAATGTCTAGCTAACATGTTTTAAAAATCTCCAGGGATGGAGATTCCACAGCCTCCCCAGGCAATTTATGCCAGTATTTAATCACCCTGACAGGCAGGAAGCTTTTCCTAATGTCCGACCTAAATCTCCCTTGCTGCAGTTTAAGCCCATTGCTTCCTGTCCTATCCTTGGGGGTTAAGGAAAATAATTTTTCTCCCTCCTCCTTGCAACACCCTTTTAGGTGCTTGAAAGCTGCTCTCATGTCCCCCCTCAGTCTTCTCTTTTCCAAACTAAACAAACGCAGTTCTTTCAGTCTCCCCTCATAGGTCAGAGTTTTGTGTCAAACATTTCCATATTACTAATAGTGTTCAAGTAGTTATTAAGTTGGGTTTTAATGTGCCTTGTATTGTGATTTTGCACAGTGTGTACAATGTGTAGACCTAATACCCAGTGTTCTGTGAAGAGGGGGGCTCTTCAGAGCAAAGCTAGTACAATTGCCAATTCAGATACCAGGAGCCAGAAAGTTTCACTTGGGGTTTGTTCTCCCTGTAATCCTCCTGTCTGACCTTCTGTGGTATCTCTAACAGCCAGGGGTCTAGTCCACAGATTTGTCTAGGATTTCATGGGTGGCCTCACTCTCACCCCTCAATGGGTCTAGGCAGCAGCCGCTGACCTGGATCTTTCCATGCACCCAGGATTTTCTTGGATGCTTCAGTTGCTGAGCTGGTTGCTGAAGTTTTTGGGGTTCCGTCCATCCCCAGGAGTGGGGTTTTTATAGCTACCCATGGTGTATGTTTCAGAGACGTGTTAGCGTAACAAGGATAAACACAAAGAAAGGAGATTTAACTTGCTGTTCATGGTGATGTCTCCATCAGTGCCTTATTTTCCTTGTATGTTTGGGAGAGAAGCTGTGCGGCTTGTGAGCTTGCAGAGGGCACTTGCAGATCTGCGCTAAGAATAATTTCAACTGCATTGCCATTTGTTTGGCTTTGCAACCAGAGCCACCAGGCGCTGGGCCAAGGGTTTCAGTTACTTCGCTTCTCAAGTGTCTTCCTGGAGCTCAAGGCCTTTGCGCTGAAACCTAGATGGGCAGCACCCTGGGTAGGCCACAGGAGTGGGAATTGAGATGTGGGTTTTAATCCTGGCGGTGCCGTGGTCTCACTTACTTCCCCATGTAAAAAAGGAGCCACTGTCACTTCTGTAAGATGCTTTGAGTTCTAGGATAAAAGGAACAATTAAAAGTTCAAGCTTTCAGTGTAGTTTTTGATGCACCCCCTAGCTGAGATTTCAGTCGAAACATCTATTTTGCCATCCAATGTATGGAAAAACTGGAACAGGATCTGCCAAAGCCCCTGACACTGACCAGAATGGAACTGATGCACAGACTGTACTGTGTGGTGACACTGTACTAAAGGTTGAGAGGCTGAGCCCTTGATATAGGCAAGTCTTTTCTGCCCTGAGAAAGCAGCTAGGAAAACTCAAAATGCCTGAGAGTCTCTGTGGTGGGTTGTAAAATGTGGCGTTTGCTGTTTCTTCAGGTCACACATGGGAAGGTTGATCATGTTGACCCTTTAGCAAACCTCACCCCAGTGCAGGGTAGATCACAGTATTCATGTGACTGGGGGACCCAGTCCCACCTGGGGCTATGTAGCTCTGCCCCAGAATTCACATTGTCATTAATGTTTTCTAAATCTACTCCATTGCCGACTGCTGTGTACCTCTTCCTTGTAGAATTACAAGCGCCCAATGGACGGCACTTACGGCCCACCTGCCAAGCGACACGAAGGGGAGATGTACAACGTACCCTACAGCACCGGACAGGGACAGGCACAGCAGCAGCTGCCTCCAGCACAGAGCCAACAGCCGAGCCAGCAGCAAAGTGCCCAGCCTTCCCCCCAGCAGGAGCTGTATAACCAGTATGGGAGTACATACCCTGCCACTGACCGCCGGCCTGCTGCAGGGCCGCAGAACCAGTTCCCATTCCAGTTTGGCAGAGACAGGGTCTCGGCTCCCCCAGGCTCCACCACGCAGCAGAATATACCACCTCAGATGATGGGTGGTCCCATGCAGCCTACTCCAGAGGGCCTGCAGCAGGGCAGCCTATGGCAGGGGCGTAATGAAATAGGGTACAGCTATCCAAACAGGCAGAGTTCCGGCTCTGCGGCGCAGGGGCCTGCTTATCACGGAGTGAATCGAACAGATGACATTCTCCATTCAGAGCAGAGGGTCAATCATGAGGGACCATGGCCCTCCCATGGGAACCGCCAGCCTCCTTATGGTCCTTCTGCCCCGGTACCCCCACTGACAAGACCCCCACAGCCGAACTACCAGACCCCTCCTAGCATGCAGAATCACATTCCTCAGGTATCCAGCCCAGCACCTCTGCCCAGACCTCTGGAGAACCGCACCTCGCCCAGCAAATCTCCCTTCCTGCACTCGGGGATGAAAATGCAGAAGGCAGGGCCTCCTGTCCCTGCCTCACACATAGCCTCAGCAGCCGTACAGCCGCCCATGATACGACGGGACATCACCTTCCCACCTGGCTCAGTGGAAGCTACGCAGCCTGTGCTGAAGCCAAGGAGACGGCTGACAACAAAAGATATTGGTAAGACTTGGCTCCCGCTCTGCTGTCAGCCGTTGGAGGTGATGTGTCAGAGGGACCATCGGCGCTGTTGGGAAGGGGAGCCATCAAGGGAAATCAATTTTCGGTGGTTTTGTCTGTATAACTGCCTCCTCTCCCCCCCCTGCCCCAGATATTTGGCTTGTCTGCACTGTGGTCTGCAGAACCCTGTGGAATGGGCTGTGCTGTCCATGGAAACGAAGCAACATTGACTGTAGGTCTCTTGTTTCTCAAGCCCAGGAACTGGAAGTATCGTATGTTTATATTTCAGGAACTCCTGAAGCCTGGAGAGTGATGATGTCTCTGAAGTCGGGGCTGCTGGCTGAAAGTACGTGGGCCTTAGATACCATAAACATCCTGCTCTATGATGACAACAGCATAATGACCTTCAACCTCAGCCAGGTGGGTTCAGATGCTCTGAGATGTAGGCCTTTTGATTCCAAGTGCTGACAAGATAGCAGAACCCTGGCGCTTTCTCCAGCTAGTGCCAAGCTTCCAGCCATCCCAGCATTTGCAGAAATTAAACGTGCCTGTTGTGTAGGCCAACCCTGAATACATAACTGCTCAGAGTCTGGGTACGTGCTACTTTGTCAGTGTACGTGTAACCCATGCACCAGCTGGGTGTGGTTCACTGTCTTATGTAGTGGCACTTACACCACTTAGAGAGAGAGAATGAATTTGTGAATGAGAGGTGTACAAACCTGCTCTCCCAGTGATGGTACAGCAGCATGCTGAAGGCTGCCTATCGTCTCTGCTGTTCTGCAACGCCACTTGTTTTCTTTAGCTGTCTGTCCTGGTCACGCCTCTCTTCCTGACGTTTGGGTGCCACTTTAAGGACATTAACCTTCTTCCTAAACTGCCTCTGGCTGAGTGTCTTGTCTCCTTCCTCTTCGCCACAGCAAAAACCATGCACTGAAATTTCTAAATACTGTTTCCCTTGGCACCCAGTGCTTGAAGGAAGGAGGTGATGACCAGGAAGGAGGTACAGGCATGTGTCCTTTGCTTGGTCAATGGTAAATACTGACCGAGCTCCCCCTATGCTCCCTTTATTTCCTTTCCTAGATGAGAACCCTCATATTTTCCAGTTTTCTCTTTGGCGTAGCACACACTGTAATGTATAGCCTGTATTCTAAGAAACTAATTGACAATACTGCTTCAACCCAGCCCTCTTCTGACCCACCTCCCCAGTAATGAAGTGAATCACCAGGTTTGGCTTGCACTCTGATGTGGGTTTTTTTCCACTCCCTCCCCTTGTTTTTTTTTTTTTCATATAGCTTCCAGGGTTGCTGGAACTACTGGTGGAATACTTCCGGCGTTGCCTGATAGAAATCTTTGGGATCTTAAAAGAATATGAAGTGGGAGATCCAGGACAGAAAACACTATTGGATCCTGAAAGGTTCTGCAAGTCTTCAAGTCCCCATCCTGAAGAGGGGGAGGAAGAGGAGGCACCACAGAGCCCTAACTACGAGGAGGAGGAAGAGGAGGCTGCATTTGCAAGTAAAGACAAAGCACCCGTAGAGAGCAGTGAGGAAAAACTAGTCAGTAAATTTGATAAGCTTCCAGTCAAGATAGTGCAGAAAAATGACCCATTTGTGGTAGACTACTCAGACAAGCTGGGGCGAGTACAGGAGTTTGAAAGTGGACTGCTACACTGGCGGATTGGTGGTGGAGATACCACTGAACACATTCAAACCCACTTTGAGAGCAAAATGGAGTTACTATTAACTCACAAACGAGCTTCCTGCAATTCTGTCTTGAGAAAATGTTCAGCAGCAGAGAGCAATCCAGGAACTAGAGAGGGGGAGAATCTGCCATCTGATGGTCCCCCGGAGAAAAGGATAACAGCTACAATGGATGACATGCTTTCGGCGCGGCCAGGCTCACTGGCGGCGGCGGAGGAGGAGGAGGAGGTCAAAAACTCGGCAGCAGCAAAGGAAAGCAGCAAATTTCCATTTGGCAGCAGTCCAGCTCAGAGCCACAGAAATATAAAAATTCTGGAGGATGAACCTCACAGTAAGGACGAGACACCCCTCTGCACCATCCTAGACTGGCAGGACTCTCTAGCTAAACGTTGCGTCTGTGTGTCTAACATCATCAGGAGTTTATCATTTGTGCCGGGCAATGACTTTGAAATGTCTAAGCACCCCGGTCTGCTGCTGATTCTAGGGAAACTGATTCTCCTGCACCACAAGCATCCGGAACGCAAACAGGCACCACTGACATATGAGAAGGAAGAGGAACAGGACCAAGGGGTGAGCTGCAACAAGGTGGAGTGGTGGTGGGACTGTTTGGAGATGCTGCGTGAAAACACGCTGGTTACACTGGCCAACATTTCCGGTCAGCTGGACCTCTCCCCTTACCCTGAAAGCATCTGTTTGCCTGTCCTGGATGGGCTCCTCCACTGGGCTGTATGTCCATCAGCAGAGGCCCAGGACCCTTTTCCAACCCTGGGACCTAACGCTGTCCTCTCCCCTCAGAGACTGGTTTTGGAAACTCTCAGCAAACTCAGCATCCAGGACAACAATGTGGATTTGATTCTTGCAACTCCTCCCTTTAGTCGCTTGGAGAAGGTCTATAGCACCATGGTGCGTTTCCTTAGTGACCGAAAGAACCCCGTGTGTCGGGAGATGGCTGTGGTACTGCTGGCCAACTTGGCGCAGGGTGACAGCCTGGCAGCCAGGGCAATTGCTGTGCAGAAGGGCAG